TGTGTGAGCTGGGCCCGGTCTCCTTTGGGTGTCTAACACATCCTGTGCTCCTCAAACTGCTTTTGGGTGGGAGATGAAGGGCTTCACCCAGCTGTGGGCGGCTGCAGTTCGCTGCGTGGCTTCGTGTCAGGAGTTGGAAGAGGAGGATGAAGCTGGTTGGCTTTTGAGTCGGAAACTAAAAAGTCCTCTATTTTTCTCCTTCCAGCTATTTATCAAGGCTCAGTGCAAAGGGCCTGACAGCGGGCCAGCGCGGCCCGGCTGCCGTGATCTGTGTGACACACAAGCCGCCGCCGAGCCGGTAATGAGGGACCTTCTGCTAAACGGCCAATTGAGCAGCCGGTGCCTGCCGAACAGCTTCATCGCGGGAGGGATGGCCGGGTATATCTCTATTTTGACATGTCCTCGCTGAATGAGGAAGAGAACAAGCAGAAAATGGCTGATGATAAATGCAGCAATTAGGGAAGCTTAATGGAGCAGAAGGTTTTTTGTGCGAAGACAAAGAAATTGCCGTGCTGACACCTGCAAGGAGGTCCCAGCCGCTGCCGCAGGGAGGCCTCCAGCTGTGCCGAGCAGCAGGGGCTGGGGCGAAGGGAAGACGACCCTTCGCCTTCACACACGCATCCCTCAAAGGCCTTGACAAAATATTTTCCAAGTTAAACTTCAAAACACCGTTTGATTTTTTCCCCCCATTATGTTCAGAAATGGTGGCCTGTAATTTAGGCCCGTTGCAGCCCTCCCCCACTCCCTGCTTTTGTTCGGTTTCGCAGAACGCAGCGACTGCCGAGAAAGGCCTTTTCCTGCCGAAACATCCATCTCGACGGTATGACAGAGCTGCGGCCTCAGCGGGGGGTGCTGGACGTGGGTGGACACGAGGGGGCTGCCCCGGACGCCGCTGCTTTGCCCGCGGTGACCCCTGTGGAGGGCCGAGTCTTCCCCCAAAGCACCCAGTCTCTGAGCTAAGCCCTGGGCTACCGGCTCCCCAGGATTTGAGTTAAAGTGCTGTATTTGTTTGCCAAAGCCCCATTTCTCTTTATTTCCTTGGTTAGACTCTTCCCGAAGAAAACGGCTCGTGCAAAGGGACGCGGATAAGCAGTGGGGAGAGCTCTGCAAGGCCCAGCAGCCCCCGGCAGCGGGAAGCCCAGGTTTCAGTGACGGGCAATGCCGTTTTGGTCTGTCACAAGACCGTTACCAGAATCTCCCCCAAAACTGCGACACAACTATTTTCCTAAGGCTTTGGCAAAACGGAATTTCCTGAAGGAGGTGAAGGTTTCCCCTTTTTTTCTCAGTATGAGCCAAGGAAAACACAAACCCCGTTTTCCCCACCGCTGGGGGCTCCTTGGCTCAGGCCCCAGCTGCGCGCCGCTGGCTTACCCCTTCTCGTTCCAGCAATTGCCAGCCTGCGTGGAGAAAGCTGGTGTGTCTTGCTCTTGCCCAAGCTCTCAGGATATTGCATTTCTCTCTCGCTGTGCGTTCTGGACGCGGGTGATGTTGGCGTTGCAGATCTTACAGTGACAGCTCAGGCTGCTGCGGAGTCCTTGGGTTCCCCCACATCAACCCTTTGTTTGTCTAACTTGGGGTCACCAATAACTAACTAAATTTTTAAGGTATCTCTAAAGGCTGGAACGGACAATTCTCATATGCTTATTTTAGGCAATAAACCTTGCTTTTTAGGGAAATACTGGAACTTCTATTCAAAAACCAGTTAATATTTTTGACAAGTAATCTGAGGATTCCTTAAAGCTTTACAGATCGGCTTTTTCCTGCACACCACGCTCTCCGGGTTAGCTACCCGTTTTATTGACCAGGCCAAGACTGGCCCGTTAACTGAAGAGGGTGCACACCAAATCTCATTCCACCGAGCGCGGCGTCACATGGCATCACGTTTCGGACAAAAGGCAACGCAAGTGCAGGAGCTGGTCTCCCTCCTAATTCTTTCCCGAGCATCTTTTTAAAAATAGGCTGCCTGAGGCGAGCAATGAACCTTGCACATCCCATCCTCTTCCTCCCACCCACCGTCATTTGCTAAATCCCACCCTTTGTCAGTGACTGAGGGACGTCTCTAGGGAGACGGACGAAAGCAGAATAAAAATGGTAAATACTGCACAAAGTGTAAGCTCAGCAGTGGTAGAAATGCATAAAACCCAGGAAGCCCTTCTGTAACAGTTCTCTTTAGCAGAAGGCGGCTCAGCTGTGGTGGCTTAAAGGAATAAGGCTGAATTAATTAGTTTCTCTGTTTAGGTAATAATACCATTAATCATGATGAACCATTTCGTGAGAAGGCCGATACCCGGCACTGCGTAATTCCGCAGGAATCCCACTGTAGTGCAGCATTATTGATGGGTCATCCTCCGAAAGCGTAAGAGCAATGCCTCCTAACACAGTAAATGGCAAACCGCTGATTTTCTTTCAATATTCAGACTGCCACAAGATCAGTCATGATGAATTCTTCTGGCACTGCTGTGGCTGCAACAAGCAATCCTTCAGGAATGTCAGCGGAGAGCATGGCATTGATTCAATGCTCACTTTTTAAACGGTACACGGACCAAATGTCTTCCAAAGGGTACGGTCCATTGTATTTTTTTTTGAAGCGAACGCTAAACCGCCCCTGTGCTCGCACTTACCTGCATCGGGAAGATGCAGCTATGGACTCTTTCTGACAGGGGCCGGGGAGGTTCGTTTACGCCGGTCTGTGTTAGAGGTGGTGTCAAGCAAGATGCCACGTTGGACAACGGCACCAGCAGAGAATTGCAACCCCCCTGAGCCAGCATTACAAATACCTTCATGCTGAGTCCAACAGAGTTTTCACTTCCACCATGTGTTGTATGTTCCTCCGATTTCAGCTGGGAGAGCAGGTGCCAATTTTTAATGCCTATTTTGCTTTAAGCCTCTTTTCATCAGATTAAGGACCCTGCTATTTTATTTCATTTTATTTTTTTATGCTTGGTAATTTAGTCACATGCAAACTTGAAAACAGAAGCTGTAACATGCTGTTAAAGCACAGTCGCCCACTGTTAAATCAGTTACCGAGAGCGAGGGGGCTTGGAGCACTTTTCCATCCCCCTGCAGGTGTCTGCTCTCAGCCTACGGGAAAAGCTTGGGGAAGCAAATGAGAACGCACGTGGAGAACCGCGCTTGAGGCAACAACCTTCCCGTAGCGATGCCGGCAGCACGATCCCTTTGAACAAGCTGCTGCACGGAGGCTGTGCTTCCTTCTCCGTCCTTCCTTCCCCCCGGCGAAAGCGCAGAGCCTGCACTGTTGCCCGTGCCAGGGCCACGGGGCGGGGGAGCTGCCGCAGGGCCCCCC